GGGGTCATTCTAATAATATTACGACAAAGTTCAGTTGAGAATAAATGACTCAATAATTCATGTTTAACTTGTTCACTTTCCAGTCGTATATCATGTGTGATTGTACGTCGGTCATTTTCAATTTCACGTACATAAGTCCAAAACCAAATAGCTACTAAGCAAGCAGCATATGTAGCTAAAGAGCTCACTTGTTCCAATATCTGTCTATTATTTTGATTATTCCGATCAACCATCTATAATAAAATTAAGTGAGATACATTAACCAATATCATAGATGAACTAACCAGAAAAAATACTGAAAAGATTCAACAAAGTGACAGCAGTAATACCAAATAATTGACAGAAAAAACAAGCAGACAAATACACCCCATTAGCAATCTGAAGTAGTTCAACATAAAACGATATGAAAGTGATGTAAATTATACAAATACATAATGATATGAAAGTGATAACAAGCAGACATACATAAAGTAGTTCAATGTAAAGAAAGTGACGTAATAAGAGCAATGATGCAACAGAAATAATACTATAATTCATAGCCGTCGATATTTATATTTCATATGTTTACAAAAGTGAATTGACTACAACGACTCCACTCAACGAAAATAGATGAAAGAGAGGATACCATCGTTGGAAAGAGACCTAACCTGTAAAAAGTTGGTTGGAAATTGGAAAGAGACGACACCGTCTGTTGACTTGCACGGCAGAAACAAGATGAGACAAAGTACTTATTATGGTGAATATAATATAAATAATAAGGTAAAGGGTAAAATTGAAATATAGAATAATAAGTGTGGGCATAATTGGAAAGGAAAATACGAAACAATCCCACCACACGGATTTGGTTGTTTCATAAAATGGGGTTTTTCATTGTTTCGGAACAATGGATTAAACAGTACGATGCAATCAGTTTTATATAAACAATCAAAACAAACATTGTATGTGAGGTAACAATACAATACAATACAACCGGAAACAACCATCCAAACACAGTGTTATTTTCATTCGGCCGTATTAATTATTCTCATTTTATCCTTAATGTCACGAGTTTATAATTATTATAGAATGTCATATTTGTTTAAGTTTTTTTTAAAAAAAAACATGTTCACATAAAATGAGACAGATAGAACGACAACAACAACAAGCCCAATGAAATCTTACAAGTGGAGTTTGGAGAGGGTAAAGTTTACGCGGACCTTACCCCTACCTCATTAGGGTAGAGAGGCTATTTCGGAAAGACTCTCAGCTCAAGAAAAGTAAAAATGAAATAATGAACAGACAGTAGAAACAATGAGGTAATTAGACATGAGTGCAAATGAAAATACGTGCAATAACAGATATCTAAAAATACGACACTATAAAAATAGAGTCAATCTTGTTAGAAATAATGACACAATGTGAAATAGCAAAGGGTTAGACATAGCAAAATACAAGACAAAATGAGACAAATGAAGTAAATTTTAATTTTTNGCATCATTTACTAATTTGGTAATCAAACAAGTGCTGTTTACGCAGGGTCTGCAGCTGCACTTTCCTTTTCCCAATGTCTTTGTTTTCTATTGCAAAATATTGTTTTGATCTAACTTTCTATCTTCGGAGTGGTTACTGCGCATGAGGAACTGTTAAGAACTCCACTTCCTTCTTTCACTTTATTTTATATTTTAAGGAAAAATTCAATTCTGGATCTGCCGCTGTGTTCAAGCGATATATTAAAAATTATAATTTCTATTCAGGTATCTGAACGACTCGGACTACTATGGAGGATTTGAACAGGAAGATCTGGATCAATTGTTCGAAGCAATGAGATCAAATTACAAAGCATGGTGTTCAGGATTTGCACCCTTAGTTGTAGGAGGAGACATGGACTCCGTGGCAATTCAGGAATTCAGCAGGACATTGTTCAACATGAGACCGGACATAGCACTAAGTGTGTTACAAATCATATTCCTAAGTGATTTAAGGCATTTGTTGGCTCATGTAACTGTCCCATGTCACATAATTCAGAGCATGAAGGATCTGGCCGTGCCTGTGGTGGTGTCCGAGTACCTCCACCAGCACCTCGGTGGGGAGTCTATCGTGGAGGTGATGTCCACGGAAGGCCATCTGCCGCAACTCAGCTCACCGGATGTTGTTATTCCGGTGCTGCTTCGCCATATTCGTCATGATATTGTCGTTTAATTATTATTAGTACTAGTACTAGTGTAGCAGCAAGCAAAGTTCACTTGCTTGGAATAATGGATGTTGTACAAAATTGACCATCTTGCCTTGTAGTTGCCATCTCCATCTCTTGTTAAATTTTAACGAATATGCAGGATGCATCAGCATAAGAAACCAAAAAGGAAAAGGTCAAACGTATTGAGGCAAAATGTGGGTCCATGGAATGAAATTAATGGGCAGCGTTGGATGGTTCTTCTCCTTTTGAGCTACTACTCCGGTATTAAATATTACTCCCTCGGTTCCAATTCGTGTGAATTGGTTTGACTGGGCACGGAATTTAAGAAAAAATGAAGACTTTTGAAATTTATGGCCATAAATAAGTTAAAAGGGACCCAAAGTATTTGTGTGGTTATAAAAGCTTCTCATTAAGGGTAGAGTCGAAGTTTAAGCTAAATTGTTTTCAAATTTAAAAATGGGTCATTCATTTTAGAACGGACAAAAAAAAAATAGGTTCACATAAACTGAAACAGAGGGAGAGGGAGTACTTAATTTGACATTTTTAGAGAAAGAAGAGGTCATTTATTATGTTCTTTTTCTTTCAAATACACTCTTTCTATCCAACTGGTCTAATACTTAGTTAAGAGAGTTGTTTGGGAATATGTTCGCCAAGTAACAAAGCTTTAGAGAATTTTGTCAGACACTTAGAGAAGGTTTCCCATTTTGTGTGCTTTTACATATTATCGCGGCAGCCTAATAAGAACATATAATCTGGTTAAAATAGCATGGGCAAATCAGTTTTCGGACTGGTTATTAAAAAATAGTCAGCATTTGCTAAGTCATTAAAAAATACTCACTATTTTGCTGCAACAAAGATCAGCCCAGCATAATATACTGGGGCTCGGTGCACCTGTATATGAACTTCCAACATATTATGCTGGACCGGTATACTTTGCTGGCTCTAGTATAATATACTGGAATTATACTAGAGTTCCAGTATATTATACTGGATTTCAGTATATTATGCTGGAGTATTATCCGAATTTTGAACAGTATTTTTATTCAGATTTATCTTTACATGAAAAGTGGCTAAATTTTGATGACTTTTGAAACTATGACTATTTTTGAATTTTCCCCTATAATCTGTGCAGACATGGGGAGCCTATACATACAAATAGCCTATTTGGGCCTTAATCGTGTACACGAGCGGGGGATTTGCATCTACACCCGCTTTTTGGGTCACGTTTTAACTTGTGCCCGCTTTGTAAAAAAATTTGCAAGCGTACCCACTTTTTCGTGTAACTTCAGCATACAGGGCTGAAGTAGCAAAGACAATCACGCAAAACTTCAACATTCTAGTATACGGGCCTGAAGTAGCAAAGGCAATACGCTGGAGTTTTTTTGTCCTGGATACGATGTTGAAGTTATTTAGTTCATTTGTAAAAACTTCAGTACTAACATAGCTGAAGTTTTTTTGTCCTGGATTCATTAGTTTTGTCATAAAGCTTTTTCAAAAACTTCAGCAGAAGATGCTGAATTTATTTAGTTCATTTATAAAAACTTCAACACTAAATAAGCTGAAGTTTTTTTGTCCTGGATAAGCTTTTTCAAAAACTTCAGCAGAAGATGCTGAAGTTATCTAGTTCATTTATAAAAACTTGAGCACTATATAAGCTGAAGTTTTTTTTTTGTCCTGGATTCATTAGTTTTGTCATAAAGCTTTTTCAAAAACTTCAGCAGAAGATGCTAAAGTTATTTAGTTCATTTGTAAAAACTTCAGCACTATATAAGCTGAAGTTTGAAAAAGCTTTCTAACATATTAGATAAATAATCACCTTATTCTTTCATAATGTATTACTACTATAAAATAATTAGATTGCCAACAATATCTCAATCATAAATTTTGGAAACAATAAACGTAAAAAGAATAGAATTACGTGGAAATATTCACAAATCATTGTCTACTAACTTGCTTAATTATTTATAATTTATTTTTAAATAATATGATAAACGTACTTATGGCAATTATCCCATGAACTGAAGTTTCATAGCAACACCAACAGCAGAAGAAGAAGAAGAAGAAGAAAACGAATGAGGAGAAAGAGGGCTAAAGTTGTTTTAAAACTGGGTACAAGTTAAAATATTTTAAAAAATGGGTATAGGTTAAATGGGGGCGACCAAATAGGGCGCCCCATGCAATTTTTACGCAACGATCTCAATAGCTTTTGGAGGGTAAGAATGGTATAAGAGTATGGGCTAACAGGCGGATAGGCCCAACAGTTTTTCGGGAGTTTGAATTGGGCTAATTGGCGGTAGGCTAGGGTATTGCCTAGCATTTGCCTTGATTTTGGAGTGGAATTTTTTTATTCCTATACACTATTTGAAATTTTATTACCCTTAATATTCATGTTTAGTTAATTACATGGCATAAACAAGTTTTGTTTACAAAATATATGCAATCCACCTTAAAAGGCTCCCAATCCATTATTTATGCCTTCAATCAAGGATATAGTTACACCCTTTTCCTTTTCTTTCTCCTCTTCTCTTTCCTTATGTTTCCACTCATATGTTTTCTCATAAATCATCTTCTGATTTCAATCTCCTCGGTCATCTTTATGTACGCATTGCCCAAAGTCATTTAAATTCAAAGTATCATTAAGACTTGTGCCCTCTAAAGCTATGCTTATTATAATGCCTAGAAACAAATCAAATATTGATAATTTTCCTTTCTCCGTTTTCAGTCAGGAGGACCGTATTAGTCAGTGTTACTTGGTCGGCGAGATGGACTAACTGCAAGTGATAAAACAGCAAATGAACAATTACCTTCACCCTTTGAGCCTCTGGATAAAATCGCTGCCAAGTTTACTGCTAAGGGTCTTGATCTCAAGGATGTAGTAGTTCTCTCATGCACCTTTAATCTTCTTGAATAAGTAGTATTAATTTCATATTCAAAGAGTAATTAGCTCTCCGTTTGAGCTTAGAATGTCTAAGGAAGCAACTCCCTAGTTAAAAAATATAAAGAGATCAAACATATAGTTCTCTATTTTCAGACAAGTCATGCGTAAAGTTAAATCTGTATTGGATTGATGATCCAACCAATTTGTACAATAAAAGTTTTTCATAAGGAAAAAATATTTCCATGCAAGTCTTTAAAGGTATCCAGTTAAATTGTCACGACCCCGATTCGCCCTCCGTGAACCATCGTGACGGCACCTAGTCTTAACGACTAGGTAAGCCTAATTTGCGGAAGTAAACAATTTAAAACAGAAATAAAGGAGTAACAATGTTTAAATGTGCCGCTCGGCTTACACTATGTTTACTCTCAATACCAATACATAAATCCAAGACCCGAAAACCCACGAATCACAAGCTAAGATCAATACTACATAGCTCTAACTCCGGAATGTCTAATAAGAACAGGAAAGTACAGAAGGGCTAAATACTAAAAGTAGGAATAGAAAGGGACTTCTCGGTCTGCGGATACGACAGACGTACCTCGAAGTCTCTAGAGCAGTTGCCTCCTCAAGAATGGTAGGCCTGAGTAGCGGTACCTGGATCTGTACATGAAAAACATGCGCAGAAGGGGCATGAGTACACCACAACGGTACTCAGTAAGTGCCAAGCCTAACCTCGATTGGTAGTGACGAGGAAAGGTCAAGGCCCTACTGAGATTAAATAAATATAAAGATAACAAGATAAGATAAGCAGTACAATTGAAAATCTACAGTAAGAATCTATACAGGTTAATAAGAGTACAATAACGAAACCGAAATAAAGGCAAACACCAAGAAATACCACTCATAACAAGGATGATAACCGAGGATCCCTTAGTATCCCACAGATCTCTTGGTATCCTCAATATATGCTAGGATCTCTTGGTATCCCGAGTTTCTGTTAGTATCCTCAATATATGCTAGAGATCTCTTGGTATCCCGAGGATCTCTTGGTATCCTCAATATATGCTAGGGATCTCTTAGTATCCCGAGGATCTCTTGGTATCCCCAATATACGTGCCAGGGATCTCTTGGTATCCTCAATATACGTGCCAGAGATCTTTTGGTTTCCTACACCTCAAACCAGATCATAAATACGTACAAGGGATCTCCCGGGATGCCGTCCCGTAGTCCCAAAGTAAAAACACACAGTAGCAACACAAGAATACCCAATTAAGCTAAATTCCGTACCAAGTAAACAATTAATTCTAGCCTAACATGCTTCACGTAATGCAATTAAGGCAGTTTAGGCAAATAGGCAATTAAGTCAACTAAACATGCTTTTCTAAACTAGCAACAGGCTAAATACGCAAGTAGAATAAAACAGGAAAAAGAACTCAATTGAAATACTTAAGGAAAAGCCGGATTTTCAACAATTAGCTCAAGTACACGCTCGTCACCTCACGTACAAGGCATTTCAATTATCAAATATATCATATCCTAAGGGGAAGGTCCCCCACACAAGGTTAGACAAGCCACTTACTTCGAACTAGCTCAAAATCAACCCGACACCATGTCTTTGCCACGAGTACTCGACTCCAAATGGCTCAAATCTATTCAATTCAATTTCATGACATAAATAACATTTCAAGTAACTGATTCTACAATTAAAGTCTAAGCTAATAAGCGAAATTATGTAAAATGACCAAAATGCCCCTCAGGCCCACGTCTTGAAATCGTGTAAAATTTACATTTTCAGAAACCTCGTACTCTCACGAGTCTATACATAACAAGAACACTGAAATTGGAGTCCAAATGGCCTCTCAAATCCTCGTTTAAAGGCCTCTTAAACTCAAGCACTAATTAACCATTTTTTCCAAATTTCTCACCACTAATTAGGTCTTTACTCACATAAGAATGAGTTATGAAGTCAAGGATGTTACCTCCAACTTATTCCCCTCGAATCCTTCTTCTATCCCATTCAAAGAACTCCAAAAACGATTAGAAATGGTGGAAATAAACCCCCAAGTCACGGAACACCTTTTAAAATAATGCCCAGCAATTTCCGCATCTACGGTCAGGGGACCACATCTGCGGTCCCGCTTCTGCGGTCATGGGACCACATCTACGGTCCCGCTTCTGCAGAACACATGTCGCATCTGCGATTTTCACTTAATGAGCCAGTTTTCGCATCTGCGACTCTAAATC